GAGTATGGAATGTGCGAGAAAAGTGATATTTTTTACACGAGTGGAAATATTTTCGCACGAGAAATAAGCCGAGTGCGAAAATCACGCGAGTGTGAAAAATCTCTGTTACACAAGTGATGTACAATATTATGTTTCCTAAGGTCATAAAATAATTTCATCAAAAAAATATAGAACCAGGAAATCTGTCTATGGGGGTTCAATCAAGAAGTGGCTGGTTTTATATTTGTTTTTATACGTCTTATTGAATTATTTTTAAATTATTTTACGAAAGGCGTTTTATCGAAATTAAAAACGCTGTTATTCCATTTACAAACACTTTCATTGGATGATATAGGTAAAATAACATAGGGTACAAAAAAATATTAAAATGCAACAATATTTTTCATTGGTTAATTTTTTAAATTCATCAAATAACTAGAATAAAGATATATAATGCTTGGCATTCTATATTATACTCTTGACAGTTTAACAGACCACCCTTAACCGCTATTTTCAATTAGATTGTTTCAGAATCAATAGGCCTCATCCTCTTATAAAGCATGATTTTTCCTGAAGATTTCAATTTGATATCGTTTTTTGTTTCTGCCTTAGGATTTTTTTCAATATATCAACCCCCCCTTTCTCCCAATTTTTATTTTTTTATTTTTCATTACCTTATAGATCTTGACTTTTACTAAACATTTCATGTTGATATTGTTTTGGTTTTTAATTTCTACTTTTTTTATTTGAACCCCCCCTGACCCCCACTTTATTTAGATTTTTCTAAATCCATAGGCTTTGTCCCGTTATAGGACATGATTTTTGCCAAAAATTTTAAGCCATTTTTTTTTAATTTGGTGTCATCGGCATCAACTGCTAAGGTCATTAGCCTCGTATTCTGTGTAGGCTTTGTTACTGTTTCCCAGCGCCACTTTAGGAACAGCACTGTTAATTAGAACCCAATAGTGAATGGTCGAGTGGGGAATCCTACCAAGGCAGCAGAATTAATTTTAAATAATTAAATTAAATAAAAAAATCCCGGCCAACGGTGGGATTCGAACCTGGGACCCTTGGATCCACAGCTTTAAGTTGTTATTATTGTTTGTTTTGAGTTGGGATTTATTTATATTTTTCATTCCACTTAACCCTTCATTTTTTTTAATTGTTTTTCATAATCAATGGACATCATCTTCTATAGAGCTTGCTTGATTTATGATTTTCTTTTTAATTTCAACCCCCCTAAAGCCCCCCATTTTTAATCAGATTTTTTTTAAATCAAAGGCCTTCCTTCCCATCTATTGTGTATTGTGAGTCGGAACATACCTACAAAAAGTTATTTAGTTGTATAGAGTCTACAAGGTTATTAAATATCTTTTAATATTATATAGGTTTAAATTCTGTGATTACTCTTCTATTTGACAGCAAAAAAGCTAAAGGTTAGTTTAAACGTTAATTAATTCTTATAATCCAAGAATACTTTGTCATTAACGAATTTAATAAATTTAGTCTGTAATACAGACTCTGTATTTTTCCATTTCTTATCTATACATATATTTGATACTGATGACTCCATATTGTTGATCCGTAATCAAGGATGCTATTTATGTAAGCCATATTCAGTGCACTAAAGGATTTGGATATTTTTTAAATCGTAAAATTAGCGTATGATTAAACGCAACATCTTGTTAGCTTTATTTGTTACTGAAGTAGTATGCCGTTTAAAATTATAACTATATATTTAATTTCATTAACAACAATAATTGTAATTATTACTGTTTTGTTATCTTAAAAATATTGATACCCAATTTTGCTGTTTTTCTAGATAAATGTCTTTAGTTAATTGAGATCATCTTATATTCTTTGACAATCTTTAATATTACTTACGAAGTGGTATATTTTGAGATTATCTGCATATATTTGTCAAAATTAAAACAGCTAAAAATACCATTAATATGAATATTAAATAATAGTAAACCCCGATGGGAACCCTAAGGTACGCCAAATGAAATATTTACAGTAGAAAATTTAAAAAAATTCCTGTAAGCCTGTGAGCGGTTGGAGAGGTAAAATCGAAAATATTTTTATTTACAACCATATATGTAATGTTGTCATTACTAACGTCATTGAAGGTTGGGAACTGTCACATTACACACCTCTACTTCCCGCTCTCACTTTCCGCCCTCACTTTCCGCCCACACTTCCCGCCCTCACTTCCCGCCCTTATTTCATCTATTCTAGATGAATATTTTTTATATTTAAAAAAAATAACACATTTTTTGACAAATTTTATAATACCTATTTAATGGCGAACAATAAAAAACAACAATGAACTAAAATACAACAAACTACTTATTGATATTTATTATTCGCGAATTTAATATCCGGCTTTATCTGACATTTATTTATATTGGTGACAGTTGTTTACCCCGTAATCACAGTAACAATATATTTACTTGATTATTCTGAGAAAACCTCGCGCTTGGTAATTTGTCGTTAAATGTAATATTTTAGGTATATTCAGAACGAAACAGATTTATTAACTTTGATAGAAATATGATGGTTGTAAATAAAATAGTATACAAACCTCGGTAGGAAGTTTTATTCCTGTCTCGAGATCATAGCTAACCTCGACGCTTCGCGTCTCGGTGATCTAACTAGTCTCACGACAGGAATGAAATTCTCCCCACCTCGGTGTGTACTATACTATTATAAAGTTCCATTATTTACACTAATTTCGGCTAACTTTTTTACCAAAAATTTATCGAGTTTATGAAAGCTTTGCTGAAATCTGTGTAGATTGAATCAACTTGGGTTTTATTGTTGATATTTTATAAAATGTATTTGGATTAAATTAGTATTTATTTCGATCGAGCTGTTTTATAAATCCATGTTGCCTTAAAAAAATATTGTTGATCTATACATCATCACTTTACTTTAAAAAACGTCTTTGAATACATTCAGTTGATGAGATATAAATGTTATAAATAAGAATCCAAATTATGTTTCCATATTCCAGCTTTTACCTTATGAATGAGAATAATAAATTCATAGTGGATACATCTTTAAACTGTTTTATATTTCGAATTACAAATCCAAGTAGGCGGCATGAATTTACAGTATTCTTATCAATGCGAGGAATAAAACTTAATTATTGATCGAAATAAACACCGAGATCTTCTATGTTCAGGTCGCATCAGTAAGGTATTGTGTAACTTTAACATAAAAGTAGCAATATATTCCTTTTTACTAAATGACATTACATTTAAGAACCGATAATTAGAAAAACCAATTACCTAGGACAGACTAAGATACTTCTGGGTGAATATAACCAGAAAAGAAGATAGTGCAGATTCTGCGAGGAACAGGACGAAACCTCCATTCACATTTTTACTGAATGTGTAGCAATCCAGAATCCAAGCAAGGGCGGCTGCAAAGGGGGGCTATAGGGTCCATGCCCCCCCCCCCCCCCGGGATGAAAATTCTTACGATTTATAAGCCTTTTATTAAAAAAAAATATGCTACAAAGGGAATGACCCCCCCCCCGAAAATTCGTCTTGGAGTCGCCCTTGAATCCAAGGGCACTTAAGAGCATACCAAATAAAAGAGGGCGATCTACCTAACTTGAAGCCACTCTAAATCCTACCCCTCCTTGAGAAGATAAGATTGGAAGGGATGCATCGAGACTATTTCCCTGATGCATTAGCGACAGAAGGGGACACAATAGATCTTTTAGGTAGTAGTGCATCAATACATTATACTAAACATAAGATATCTGCAATTCCTTATCTAGGGAATATACTAGTTCAAGGAATTGGGGGGGGGGGGGGGTTCTGCAGTAGATAATGCAACATTAAACCGATTTTTTAAATTTCATTTTATTTTGCCATTTATTATTCTAGCTTTTATAATTATTCACTTATTATTTCTGCATCAAACAGGATCAAGAAATCAAATTGGAACAAAAAGAGATATTGACAAGATTCATTTCCAACCTTATTTTAGGAGGATTAATTTTAATATTTTTATTAACTTTCTTAACGTTACATTTAGGTACTACCTATCGTTTAAATATAGAAATATAGTTTTGTTTTTAATACACTAATAATTATTTAACAAATCAATGTTTGATTGTAGCTTATTAAGACAGCCCCGTATGGATTTAACTTCTTGAAATAGCTTCTAAGTAAAATAAACTGTTTACTTCAATATTCGCTAGAATATCATTGATAAATAATATAAAAACAATTGTTCCCAAAACAGACCCCTGACATACTTCTGATGTTTAACAGAAGGTAGCTGATTCGTATCCAAGGCACTGTACAAATAGAGGTATGTTAAAAAGATATGACCTAACCAGAATTATCAACTTTGTGTTAAATTCAAATCTATAAAGCTTGGTTAACTAGTTATAATTACTTTTTAGAAGGTGTTAAAGAAGTCAGTGTAGAAAAACCTAACCCATGTTGTCTAATGTTTTTACTATATACTGATTTCTACAGAATACATTACTCTCAGTAGATTTTCCAGACTCAAAATTATGTTGTTTAGGTAAAATAAATGCATTGGGTGTTCTTTACTTTGGTAGCTAATTTTGTAAATATATAAAAGAGTTGATAATATTAATTATTCTTTCTTTTGGGTTGATGTCACCTTAGTTTGACTGAGTTTCTATTACTACTATTACTGCTTTCAGTGCTTAATGAATATAATAATTATAATTAAAAAACACAATTAAAATGAGAATAAAAATGAAATGAACTATTTTTGTCGGTTTATAATTTGTCGAAACAATTGAAAAATAATGAATTACATCCAAATAAACTCCCGAACACCAAGGGATGAGAACAATATAAAACAAATTGAAAATTTATTTAAAAAAAAAATATATTCCAGGTTGGGTTCGAACCTATGACCTACAAACTATCGACCTATCATCGTAACTTAAATTTCCTTCATTAATATTATTATAATCATTGCTTATATTATTTAATTTATTAAAAAAATCAATCGCATATTTTTGCAGGTCTATGTCTTCACTGCCTCCCGAACCCTTCATGATAATGAGATCAAAAGCACTGAATAAACGAGTTGTGATAAATGTAGGCGGAGTAAGGCATGAAGTGCTCTGGAGGACCTTGGATCGATTACCGCACACAAGGTCAGTATATTTAACTATCTTAATACCTAAAATTAAGCAATAACTATATGCTACAATGTACAGAAACTTAATCCAAAATATATTTTACTTCTTTTGACATTTTAACAACTGGATGTGTTCAACGTCCTGCAAATTTTAAATTCAAAAGTTTTCCCATTTTTTGCTCCTTTTTTTCTGCCTTGTCTTATTTATGAACATCAAATAATGTAGGTGAATATTGTTCAAAATAATTATAATATCCCAACCTATCGAAACTAAGCTGCTACTTTTGCTTTTGGTAATTGATACTTAATATGCATATCCAGTGTCTGTCCCTTTAAGCAAGTCTCACAAATATACGACGCATAGGATGAATTATCAAAGGAAAACGTTCAGAATACACCTTAGAGAAGCAGCCGCATTTCCACAATACTCCTCGTACATTAATTAGGCACCCCCTACTTCGTTATTGCCGTAAAGTTATTCAAGAAATAAAACAAAACATTAAAATGACTGCAAAATAAATTAATCCTTAGATTCTTCTAAAACTATTTTCTGCTTCTTATGTTTCAGACTTGGTCGTCTTCGAGACTGCAACACACACGAATCCCTGACTGAAATCTGCGACGACTACTCCCTCATAGAGAATGAATACTTCTTCGATCGTCATCCGAAATCCTTCTCGTCCATCCTTAACTTCTACCGTACCGGAAAACTCCATTTGGTGGACGAAATGTGCGTGCTGGCGTTCAGCGACGACCTGGAGTACTGGGGCGTGGACGAACTCTACCTCGAATCCTGCTGCCAGCACAAATACCACCAAAGGAAGGAACACGTCCACGAGGAGATGCGCAAGGAGGCGGAATCCTTGCGACAGAGGGACGAAGAAGAGTTCGGAGAGGATAAGTGTTCACAGTACCAAAAATGGTTGTGGGATATGCTGGAGAAGCCTACTACGTCAATTGCTGCAAGGGTAAGAACGATGGAGTTAGTGTTCTTTGTTGGTTTTTGTAAGGAAGTGTGTTATATAATTGTTTAGGAATGTTTTTTTGGTGTTGATATCAAGTTAAATCTTTACGTTTTTTTTATATTGAATTTAAAATGAGATTATTCTAGTTGCATGGGAAATGTGCAAATATGTTGTTTGTAAATATATTTTTATTCACATTATTATTAAAATTTCATAATGATGTCTTTTGTGGACATTGAAATTCTCGACATTTTTTGCCTAAAATTATTTGTAAAAAGTTAATATTTATTGACCCATGTCACTTTTTATGAGTATTATAACTTTTCAGTACTATTTTTTATCTTATATTTTTTATTTATATTTAAAAACATCATCTACTGTTTAACACGTTAGCTTCCATATGTATCTTTGTTAAAATAAATGTATAAATACAACAGTTGCTATACTTAATTCATATCAAACTAAACTATATTTTTTACATATTTCAGTATATGCACTGGTGATTCCCACTTTAGTAAGTTCCTTCTTGTACTAGTTCTTTAGTTTAAATTTTTTAAATTTCAATCGTACATTCTTAAAACCAATTGCAATAAGCACGTATCACCGGTGACGCATATGTTACAATAGAAAAGAATCTTGAAATTTGACTTGGGAGCCAACGTGTTGAATTGCGTGCGTTTGGACGTACTTGTAGAATTTCCCCTTATTTGTTGTTGCTGATTCAACGTTATTGAAAGGAAGTGTCTACTCGGTCAAGCCGTTTGATTCTTACTAACGGGATTTGACTGATGATACTCGATGCTATTATTCTATTAATCAAATAAATTTAATTTTTTCTATAAATTTGTAGAACGATACATATATCAAAAGATTTTTTGAATCAGCTCTCATATATAATTTTTTTACGAAAATAAAAAATCTTCAATTCGCTATGAAAACGGGGAAAATATAGGTTGGGATAGCAGGCATTCCTTTACAAAAATTTCAATTGTGTACCAACTTAATATTAACTAACTAACTAACTAAAATTATCATGTCAAATAAAATTATTTGTTATATTTTGTTTTCATCTTAATTATTATTAATTAAATATTAAATAATCCATTATTATTGATAGTTTGAAATACTGTACATATGTATAATAAAGTAAATATCAACACCAAAGAACTCTTAAAAACAAATGAATTAATGATTTTATAAAAATTGCTTGATGCAAATTTAAAAAGTATTAATGCTAAATTTTGTTATTAATATAATTCATTAATGGTTAAAAATTACTATTTCTTGATCTATTGGAAATATTTATTTTTCAAGTATTTGCCCTACTCTGAATAACTTTGGATTTTTTTTAATTTCATGTAGGTACCTAAGAAATTTAAACGCGGAATATATAACAGACGAATATAAGTGGGAATGTGATGGGAGTCGTACGTATCGTGCGCCAGGCGCTCCGCGCTGATCAGCGATTTTTGTTTGTTGCACATTGTACCTTGTCTAATACATTGTAAAATACATGGTCCGCATTTAAATCTCCAAACCTGTATAAATATATAAATTAATTATGTAATTGAATCATAATCTAACATAAATTATTTTTGGGAAGTACTAGCTTTTCATTTGTTCCCTTATCAAATACTTTTGGTGGCATCGTAATAAAACAAATTCATATTTGCAAAAATATAACAAAAAAATGGATTTAATCGATTCTACTTTAATGAATACTACTGAATTTGGTTGTGCTAAAACATTTATTAATAAACAATGCAGGGCGGGCCACCGATAACGCCTTGGTCTATAAGAGCAACAATTTAAAAATAATTTCAATAATACAGGGTTCTCGAAGAAAATAATACATAACAAAGTTAGGTTTTTTTAAAAGAAACTATTTTATTTTATATTTGAATTGCCCTTGCTTCTCTTATTATACCAATACTAATTAGTATGAGATTATACAAGGTATTTCACACGATAAAACCAATTTTGTATAAAAATATTGATTTCAATGACCTGTATAGGGAAAAAGAAACAATTAAAAATCACTTTTTTTACCGTAAAATGTTTTCGATATTAATCAACATTTATGCCTATGTATGCTTTTTAAATTAGAAACAAATCTGTACAGGGTAAGGAATATATCATTTTCTCAGTTTTTCAAATTGACCACCCTGTATTTTATATCACCATTTAAAAGTACCTTAATTAAAGTTTCATTTATGTTGAGCATTCCCTATACCTCATCTTCATCTTAAAACCAGTGGTGGATCCAATTTTCTGGGTTTTTAGGTCGGGCTTTTTTTTATTGGGTGTCAACGGAATCAACTACTAGGGTTATTAGGCTCAAAGGAGAAACAATTGCCCCATTCCTCCACCCCCTTAGATCCGCAGTTGCTTCAAACTCATCAACGGATCAAAGCTTTTCATTATTAATAAAAGTTCAATGGTAAATTATGGAGAAAAGAAAATATTTTTTGTAAAGGATTTTTCCATGGGTATTCATGATTTTTCGTGATGTCTATAATTGACAAGGGACAAACAACTAAAACCCTAAATCAAACAAAAAATATGTCAGTCAATTTCCACGAGGCGTAGTGAGGTATACACTAGCCTTTGCTCTAAAATCAATATCAAGATTTATTCAGTTTAGATCCAAAAATTCTCAAAAACAAAAGTTTGAATATTTATTCATAGATACTATTAAAAAATAATGGCTGTCATATTATTAAATAACCTACAAACTACTATTTATTGTTTTTTCCCAACACTGTTACTAAATGATATTGCCATGAAGTTGATATCGAACCAAAGTTATATGCATTTCCTAAAAAAAAAACCAAAGTTATACGCATTTCCTAAAAAAAATCCAAAGTTACTCAGATTTATTTAAAATAGACATTTTAAATAAACGGGACCAACCAAATAATTATTAAAAGCCGTTTTATAATAGATATCGATTTTAAGATTAACCACATTATGATTTTTAATTTCTATTTTGTTAAGCCACATAATCAGCTTACTAAAAATTCCATATGGCTTGAGAGTGTATATTGTTGTGAAACATTTGAGCTTTTTAAATTCCAAGTAATACCAGCTTTAATGGAAATTATTGCCTAATCAGCTTAGTTGATGTAATTCCGTGCAAACCATGTTGCATAATATGCATAATATAAAGTTCAGTGAATTTGCAACCAAGCTATGAATATACCAATTTCTCAAATTTGACCTAGATGATGCTTGTCATTTTCAAACGGATTGTACCACTTTAGTCGATATGCATTATTCACCCATTATTGTCTGCCATTTGCTTTATTTTTTTCATAACTTATTATACTTATATTATAGGTAGGTAGTAAATTAGTATAGTTTATTATATGGCTCCTAATATGTACTTGTAGATGGTGCTCTAAATACTATATTGATCATAAAAAATCTTATTATCTCATAACTGTGATTTAGTAGGCTACTCAGACTTCCAAAATTATCTCTTTATTTTGTCATCATTTCTCACTAGAGACGTGTTTTTATCTAATTGTCTTGAATTCTTAATTATTTACTGTCACTGCTTGAGATTTATTTTTTAGCAATACGCTATATTAGTGTTACGTAATTTGGGTTCCAATGACAGTTGCTTTTTAACAAAATCTGTTATTGAAATTGATGCACGTTAAACAATTATAAGCTAAAGAATCTTGGCGCTAGCCTTGCCAATGCAAGTAGTCAATTATCCAAAGTCACTTCCCAAAAAGCATAAAACCCGCCAAATATACAGCTACAAGGAATATAATCATTGGTCCAAACCCAGACAAGGCGTTGAGGCGTGACTTAACAAATCGTGCTACTGTTTTCACGAAGAAACTAAAAAATCATTCCTTTTCCATCACTCTCAGAGCTTATCTCGATACGAATCAAAAGAATGCCGTGGTAAACTCACATATATTTTCTAAGAAAAATATACTTTATGTATGTTGTTAGCAAGTTATACAATCTATCTATCTGAATTAGGGCGTGGTTCAAAACCCACTTGTACTGAAGCTCTAGGTTTATTGTACCCTTCACAGTTTCTATCCCATCAGATTGATTTTCTTGATGAATTCAAGAATATGTTTGATGGGCGCTTTCACGATTTCTTCAGGTTCCGGCAGTGGCATAGTATGTGAATAGGAGTTTTGTCCTCCTCATCAGATATCCCTAAGATATTTAGGTGTCTTCTTAGGCCGCAGGGTCCCGTAAGGAGTCCTATTACGGCCTTGAGTTCGCTTCTGCTCAGGTTTAGCAGTTAATGTTGTCTGCTCGTGGATGGCCCCTCTATGAATCTTTCGGACTGTCTAAGTCCAGGAAGTTCCATCCAGAGCCTATGGTGTTCTCTTTTTATTTGTTCCTTTAACGACCATTTAACATGTTGGTATGAGATACCACACGTGGGTTCTGGTCCAATAAGAGTTTTTTCCGCTCCCTTTCTTGCTAGGAGGTCTGCTTTCTCGTTTCCAAACACTTCCTCATGTCCTGGCACCCATTCAAGGGTGACCTTGTTATGTTCTACCAGAGCCAGGAGGGACTGTTGGCAATCAAATATTGATTTAGATTGTACTTCTACCCTTTTCAGTGCTTTAAGGGCTGCTTGACTGTCTGTCATGATAACGATCCTCTTATCTCTAAGAGAGTCATTTAGCATGACCCCAGATTCAAACTAATTGTCCTCCCTGAGTTCACATGGTAGATCCCAGCTCCTGTTTTTCATTTTCGAACCGTCTGTATATCAGATTGATTCGTCTTGTTTTTCCCTATTTTCCCGGCTTCTGGCCCTTTCTGGTATTTGAATATTAAAAGGTTTCCTGAAGTCGTGAATAATGGGCGTTCTATCCGATGGCATTCTTAGTACCGGATTTTATTTTAATTTCTCTAATATCATTGTGTGGTGTCCTTTTCTCGAAAGTTCCCATCGAAATCCATTAGTAAACAGCCTGTATGCCGCCGCCATAGCCTCCTTCTCCACCACAAGGTGTAGT